CTAGTCGTACTTCTTACACTACATATAAAGGTTGATTTATGGATACTGGAGCTTCTTTGCTCATCACTTTATTCAATAAACGAATTTCACATGATAATGATATAAATTTGTCACATCATCAATATATATCCTTTTGTGATGCTAGCAGTCCTCTTGATGTCGAGGACTTCATCCTTTATACATTAAATGGTCTTCCTCAAGCTTATAATGCTTTCAAAATAGCAATTCGCACAAACCTTCAGCCCCTTAATTTGGACGAACTTTATTTCTTGTTATTCAATGAAGAAGTTAATATTATTACTGATGCTTTGTGTGAGATTCATCTATGCTATAACACATGCTTTGCCCTCTCTACCAATCGTGGACGGTTTCATCCTCGTGCATCATCTACTCGTGGTCATTTAAGTATTTGTGGTAATCATGCTCCATTCAACATAAATGTTCGTAACCCTTCCACCTTCATTAAATTATAAATTTATCTGAATAAGGGTCACTCAATTGCTAATTGTTGGTGTCATGCTGACCTTCAGTATCTATCGCCATCTTTTGCACCAACTACATGCACTACTCGTACTTCTGACACTACATATGAAGGTTGATTTATGGATACTGGAGCTTCTTTGCACATCACTTTATACCTCAATAATTTATAAAATCCAACTCCATACTTTGGTTCGTAGAACATTTTCATGTGAAATGGTGATCAACATCTATCTATCAATACATCGAGTTAAGGCATCCTTCTTGCACCTACACATAAGCTTATTCTTTCTTCACTATATCATGTTACATTCCTTACCCATAATCTTATATTTGTTCAGAAATTTCTTGCTCATAATAGGTATTATATCACCTTTAACTCTACTAGCTATCAAATAAAGGATTCTAAGAACCATCAAACTCTTCTTTCAAGTCTCAATAAGAATGGTCTATACCCATTGCACTTCGCCTCCAATCCAGATTCCATTTTTGTGTTGTTCAGCTCGTTGGTTGCCTCCTCTCTCTCTCTCTGACATCAATGATTGGGTCATCCACATCATCCGGTTCTTTCAAAATTTTTTTAAAATTTATCCTAGCTCAGTTGTGCCTTCGTCTAGTATATCATATCATACATGTAATCAAATTAAAAGTCATCATTTGTTATTTCTTATTTCTATATCAACGAGTTATGAACATTTACAATAAATCCATTCTAATGTTTGGGGTCTATCCTCGGTGTCTTCCTTTCAAGGTATTTAATATTATGTTATTTTTGTAGATGATTTCTCTCACTATTGTTGCTTGTACCCTATGGTTCAAAAATCTAAGGCATTTAGCAAATTTTAACATTTTAAGTCTTCAATGGAGAAACAATTGGGTCATTCTATTATGACTCTAATAACTAATGGGGGTGGATAATTCACTAGTCGGGACTATAATCGGCGGGCGACATATGTCAAGAGGACCGTAGTCGGCTGGCGACGGAGTTCAGAAGGACTGTAGTCGGTGGGCGACGTAAGTCAGAAGGACCGTAGTCGGCTGGCGACGGAGGTCAGAAGGACTGGAGTCGACGGGTGATGTAAATCAGGTAGAAGTCTAATGATAGACATAAATCCAGCATCATATAGATGTTTAGCAAAGGTCCGACAATGAGCAGAAGTCCGGCATCAGGTAAAAACTTGGCGACAAGCGGAGGTACAACATCAGGTAGAAGTCCGATGTCAGTTAGCAGCTGGGAAAAACTCCAGCCTTTATGGTATTCGAGCAGAAATTCAGAGTCACTTGGAGATCGGACAGAACTCTGATGTCCGTTGGAGGTCAGGCGGAATTCCGGCGTCACTTGGAAGTCAGGCGGAATTCTGGCGTTGCTTGAACATCAGGAAGAACTCCGATGTTGCTTGAACGTCGGACAGAGCTCTAGCGTTTGACAGAATTCTGGCGTCGGGCGAAATTCCGATGGCGGTGTTCGAGGAGGAGTTTCTTCCTCCTATCACTTCTCTTCTTCTTCTTCTTCTTCTTCTTCTTCTCTTCTTCTTGCTTGGGCCTTGGATTGGGGGCCCCCCTCATGAGAAATGAGGGGTCTATTTATAGATTTTTGGAGTGGCATGGCTCGTAAATAGGTGAGAGATAAGTGGCGAATCAAGAGTGGTTCGAATGGACAGCCGATATTGAATCCCTTGATTATAAAGCATTCGTCATATATTTGAAGGCCTTAGTGATGTTAGAATTTTGCGATCTTGGGCTCGTTGGATTCGACTCATCGAGCCACCTGATTCGACTATAAGCACGTTATGTTTGGAAACCATTTGGTAACTCAAATTATGGTTCGAACCTTCCAATAGCTCTTTGGGTCCTTGATCTGGACCCATTTGTCTTCGGATTGAGTCGAATTTGGTATCATTGGATTTGTATTTTCGAGACAATCAGTTCGATAGTAAGTTTGCTGAAATCTGAGTTCAGATGACCCCATAATTAATTTTTGAAGTTTCCAACTTGATTTTTTGCCTTGAGATTCGTGCTCGATCAAGATAAATTTTCAAGGATATATCAATTACAAATTAATTTTATTTAATTTTTAGATTCATCTTTAATTAATTAGCTCGTGATAGGAAATTTTTTTAAAGCTAATTAGTTATCATTTTTTTATTGTAAAATTCGATTTCTGATTTCATATATCATTAATTAAATGAGGTATTTTAATTTGGATTAACTGTTATTTGACTTTTTAAATTAGATTAATTTTTAACTATAGTGAACTAATTAGGTTTTAAATTAATAGTTCAATTGCGCTGATTTGTTTTTTTTTTTAGAATTATCATTTAATGATTTAATCATTTTAATTTGTCCAGTTAAATTAACGTGCTAATTAATTTAAGTAAATTTTAGATTAAACTCATATTTTTTTCTAAAATTCTACCTAAGTCTAGAGTTTTCAAGGAAATTTCGGCAACCTCATTGGTTGCCGATCGTTGCCGATTGTGACCGATCATTGCCGATTGCAAGCATTTCCCTTATTTTCTTAATAATAATAATAATAATTAATAACTATTACTGATAGTAGTATTAGTAAAATATAGTAAATTCTTTTAATTATTATTATTAATAATGTACTATTTGTTGAAAAATAACTCTATGACAATGTGTTATGTACATTTAGAAAGTAATCTTTGTAACTTCAAATTTTACAAATAGATCTTCATTATTTGTTGGTTGAGATTTTTGGCTATCAACTAAGAAGTCTTGAATTTGAAGTTTGAGTATATGATTTTGGTGCGAGTTTGCTTTAGTTCGCCTAAACTCCCAAAAAATTATTTATGTTTAAGTTTCTCAAATCATATCAACATTTATGAATAAAAAAATGTAATTTATTTGATAAATTAATATTATTAATATTTTAATGCAATTAGAAGATTTAAGTGTTATATAAAAATAATCATAATTTATATATTAGATATAGAAATATATAAAAAAAAATATGTACTCAAATCCCCCTAATTAATTACTTTTAGCCATAATTCTAATCTAAAAGATTTTTACCCCTTTTTTATTATTTTCTATTTATTTTATTTTTGTTATTCTAGTTATATTATCAAGGAAAAGAAAATCCAATTGGATGGACAGTAAAGTAAAAAACATTTGTATATTGGGCTCTTCTTTCTCATGATTATATATTTTTTATTCATTTTTTATTTTTTTTATAATCTCTTACTTCTTAGACTATCATTATGCATTTTTCATCAAAATATAAAATATCTAAAAGGTTTCATCTCATATGACCGAAATGTAGACATTGGATAAAAAATAAAAATTATAAAAGAAAAAAAAAAACTTCAATGCAAAAAAATAGTTTATTACCAGCGGTTTTTTCTGATGGAAAGGTTGATTTTCCGATGGCAATTATAATTTTTGATATTTTTCTGGCACTTTTTTTCTGTCGGAATTTGATGAATTTCTATAGTTTTTTTGCTTGACTGCTTGTAGACATTAGATATATAAGAAAACAAGCATCTTTTTTGCTTTTGTAGGGCTCGTAATTGACTCTTATGTGTGTTAAGTCTCTTGTGGAGCAAATTCCTTCCTTTTGAAGCAGTCAAATTTGGCTGTTTGAAAGCCTATTAAAAATTTGGTCCAATTAAAAGTCAACAAAACTAAATATATTTTGAAGATTAAAAACATAAATCTTATTAAAAGCTATAACTAATTTTAGATAACATTTTAAGTATTATATTTTGAAGATACACAATCACATATAAAATGCTGCACACCGCCCTAGATAGGTGTCCACCCTTGATTGGCTGAGAAATATTTTTTTTTTATTTCAATTAAAAAAATAAACTATTATAAACAATATTCAGAACAACTATTAATGAGTTTTTTTATTAGAGGAAAAGCAAATATACAATTAAAAACATACATTGTAAAATAAAAATAACATATTAAAAACAACTTTTAGGTTTCGTTTGTGAATGCTTTTTTATTGTTTTTTAAAACAAATTTTTATTACAAAAGTTAAAATTTTTGTTATAAAAAACTGCTTTAAGAAACCATCCCAAATAAAATCTTAATTATTTGGTGGAGTGCGCTAATTTATTTTCTTATTAAAGAAGTGTTGTAGTTGGTGGTGGTCAACGGTCAAATATTATTGCTATAGGGGTCGACGATCATGACTGGTATAGGGTGGTGGATGTGACCGTCATATATATATATATATATATATATATATATATTATTCTAAATAGAGATTGTGTTCGAAAATAAAAGGATTTTATCCCTTTAATATTATTAATACTATAATTTATTTGTATATCTTGGACAAGGAAACAGTTAAGCTTCATCCTTTTCTTGTGTGATGAAGTCTATCCAGGAACAAAATTTCTTGCTTTTGAAGCAGTCAAACTCGGCTTCTTGAATAGTCTATTAAAATTTAAAACGTTGGGCCATTTAAAAGTCAAGTCAGTCAAACTAAATATATGAAGCATTCAATTATTTAAAGAGATGCAAAAGCCCCCATACTTGGAAGAGGGCAAAATACGGGAAGCTTATAGGATGGCATTGCTTTTCAAAATTTTAGGGTTTAGTTTGATTTTCCTTTCTTACTCTGAAATAACCATGAGCCATGGCAAAGGAAGTTGCTCATCATCTTGTGGAAGCCTCCAAAACATCAAGTATCCTTTTCGCCTGCGAGGTGATCCAGCTGAATGTGGTGGTTCTGATTTTGAACTCAATTGTGAAGGCAACAATACAATATTGGAGATCCACCGGAGTAAGTATTATGTCAAAGATATATCATACCATGACTATAAAATCACGCTTGTTGATGTTAATTTGGCTCATGGCAATTGCAATCTTCCTAGTGGATCAATATATCCAGGTGATTACAAGGAAACATTTTGGCTAGAATGGCAGGATATTCAAGGTCAGGCCACATTTATTAACTGCTCAGCAAAGACCAACATTCCAAGTTATGAAATTGTGCCCTGTCTTAGCAAGAAGAACTCAACTATCTATGTGATATTTGATTCCTTCTATATTGGAAATCTTGCAACAAATTGTCAATTTCTATACACAATTCCCCTGATAAAAAATCATGAACTTCGTGTGTTTGATCAACTCAAACTAGGCTTTCAGCTAAGTTGGCATCCTCCTATCAACTCAGCAACATACGCCATTCTTTATTGTGGTCAAAGGATGGGATAGTAAGTCTACAAACTATTTCACAAACTAACTTTCTATCATCCATCTTCTAATCTTCATTTCCTAAATGCAGTTTAGATTTTTTCGAGAGGGATGTTATTAATGGAGAAAATGTCATGACCACATATGATATGACAAGTCCTTTTTCTTTTCAATTTGATTTCATGTTTTGTCTCCATGAAGAGCAGTACCATCAGTCAACATTAACCTTCTATGCAGTAGCAATAATTATCATAGTACTGGACATAACATTCCTAATACTGGGTATGAACATTTGTTCATATAAATCTTGGAATTATTGGTAAAATGTTGAGTGATGGCTAACTTACATTCTTGCAGTTTTGTTAATGATTGGAAGATTGCTATTTACACCATTATGTGTTCTTTCATTCCTTGCATACAACTTATTCAAGCTTATCAAGCCTATAGATAGTGTTGAGAGGTTTCTACAAAACCAGAAAGCCCTCTCACCTTCAAGATATTCATACAATGAGATTATCACAATTACAAGCAACTTCAAAGAGAAGTTGGGACAAGGGGGCTTTGGGTCCGTATATAGAGGAAGACTTCCTGGAGGTTATTTGGTTGCTGTGAAGATGTTAAGCAAATCCATGGGTAATGGAGAGGATTTTATTAATGAAGTATCAACTATCGGTAGGATTCATCACGTAAATGTAGTGCAACTAGTGGGATTTTGTGTTGAAGGTTCTTACAGAGCTCTGGTTTATGAGTACATGGAAAATGGATCTCTTGATAAATACATTTTTAATTCAAACAAGGCAATTAGATTCCTCAACATGGAGAAGCTACTTGAGATTGCCAAGTATGTGGCCAAGGGACTTCATTACCTACATCAGGGATGTAATATGAGGATTCTACATTTTGACATCAAGCCTCACAATATCCTTCTAGATCAAAATTTTTCACCAAAGATCTCTGATTTTGGCCTAGCAAAGTTGCACCCTAAGAGCCATAGTATTGTCTCAATCAGTGCTGCTAGAGGAACAATTGGATATATTGCCCCAGAATTAATATCAAGAAGTTTTGGGACTATTTCTCATAAATCAGATGTATATAGCTTTGGCATGCTACTATTGGACATGGCTGGTGGGCGTAGGCATAGTGACTTGAAAGCAGATAATTCTAGTCAAGTTTACTATCCTTCGTGGATTTATGATAAGCTACAAAAGGTGGAATTGTCTAAGAACTTTGACAATTTTGAGATTAATGATTTAGAGAGGAAGTTATGCATCGTGGGGTTGTGTTGCATTCAAACGCGACCTGTAGATCGTCCCTCCATGTTCAATGTTGTGGAGATGCTGGAAGATGATGTGGATTCCTTACAAATGCCACCAAAGCCTTTCTTCTCTTCTTCAGATCCAATGTCTCCAACAAACATTTTCAAGGAAAACTCTGAATCTGAGCAATCAATAATTGTAGAGAATATGTAATCTATGCAAATAATATATCATTTATAAGTAACTATGCCAAAGTTGTTATCCATCACACAATCTCGTAATGGGTTGTTTTTTATATAATATATTTTAAATTCTATTAAATCATTTCCAACATCTAAATACCATCCTTATAATTTAATTTTTGTTAAAATCTAAGCAAATTTGTTAAAAATATGTCCTCGCTTCTTTAAGTATTAGACAAACTCATTTAATGCATAATTTGATAAAGGTTACTACATTTAAAATTTTCATTTTTTGGTATGTTTCCATTGAAGGAATTGAAAGGAATGAGATGAAAAAAAAATCATAACAATCAAATCATGTATTCATACTCTAGTAGGTATGTGTATGAATCATTCATATGTCACTTCATACAATGCATTTTAATAAAAAATGATAAAATTGCACAAAAATAATCAAAATAAGGAATTATACTAGAGGAATTTTCATGCTTTTGTTGGTGTTAATCTAATACCCTTGATTGCATAGGTTCAACCAAACTACCACTCACAGTTTATCTACTAGTTTGAACAAATCCTTGCCCATTTCTAGGTTGTGGAAAATTCATCATTTTGTGCCCAAAGCTACTACACCTGAAGTATTTCCATGTTATTCTATAGTATTGTCCTGCATTCCTTCTTTCACATTAAACACATTATAGATTACTTCAAATAACTGGTTTTATTATCTTATCTATCCTTTTCTTACTACCTTCATCTTTTCTTTTGAATGGTGGGGGTTTCTATTTGAAAAGACTTTATTCATACTACTTAATCAATCTACCATAAACTATATATGCAATAATACAAACAATCTTCTATACACCTTCTATTGTTAATGGAGCTACTCATGTATCTTGCTCAGTCATAGTACTTTTTCTCTTTAGATCCATCTACTTTTTCCTTATCAGTTAAGCAAATCTTTAAATTTACAATGGATGTATAATGCATGTTTCATTATGTATGTAACATATGTTCATGTATGCAACCCAAAACACTTTACACTACCCCATTTCTTTCCCACTCTTAATCAATCCTACAATTCTGATTACAATTTAATTCTTCTAATAACCATGCAATGATATCTCTTAGCAATGCCTCAAGATCCAAATAGGAAAGTTGTCTCTTTTTATTTTCTTAATCATCATCTGAGCTTACTAATTTCATCAAGAGAAAATAAGAAATCCACAAAGAAAATATATTAGTATTCATCTAATATTTATACATTAATTTAAGTGCAAAAGAACATATAAAACAGTCAAGATACCTAAGTAATTTTAATTTTCCATTCAATAATCATAACTATAAACATGAAATTAAAAATATAAAAACTCCTATCCATGAGATCTAGATCAACAATACTCTATGTTGTAACTCGGGCTTACGAGTTTATGATTTTGATGATAAAAAATAATTTTGATTAATCTTTTATTTCTCCTAGTGTTTGTAGTGCATATTTGTTTGTGTGTTTACTAATATTTCAGGTACACCATGCACCGTTCTTTGAAGATTCAAGACTCAAGATTGTATAGAATTGGTTATTTTAAATGAGTTTTTAATTTCCATTTCTTGAGTCAAGTCTTATAATGATGTATATTTGTTTGTTGATCGTGTACATACATAGAGGGAGAAAAAAATGATTTTAAATATTTTTAATTTTTTGTATATCATATTGTACGATGTGTATCGTACTGTACGATCTAGTGTAACCAAAATTAATTAAAATATTTTATTTTTTATGAAAAACTATTTTTTAAAGTATAACTAATCGTATTGTACGAACACCACATCGTGTTGTACGATCTGTTATAGTTAGAAAGCCCGTCGTTCATTAAATTAGGCAAAACTTTGAATTTGAAAAGTTGTTCTAATCGTACTGTATGATCATGATCATACTGTACGATGTTTAAAATATTCCTTAATTTAATCATGTGATTATTCAATCAAAATGGCTAAATTTTATATTTTTATCGTACTGTACAAACTGGATCGTATTGTACGATCAATAGAGATGATCTTGGCCGTCCCATGCTTGGACCTGGATGAACTACTTTTTTTGAATTGTTTGTACAGCACCTCGTACCAGACATCGTACAATACGAACTGCAATTGAATTGTTTGTACAGTACTAACTGGACATTGTACAGTACTAGAAGGTCAATTTCTGTATATCGTACTGTACGATCTTGCAATCATACATTGCGATATTTGATGGTTGAATTGAATTTATTTTGGGTTTTTTTATCCCTCTATTTAAGCACTATCATAAGACTTTGTAAGAGCCTTTGACAGCCATTGAAGCTTCATTTTTCTAAAGAAAACTTGAAGAGAGAAATTCAAAGGGAGAGAGGAATGGGTGAAGTTTGAGAGAGGGAGAAGATCCTTGGAGGGAATTTCAAGGGAGTATGAAGAGGATTTCACACGGTCGCTCTAAAGCTTGTACCTTAGTAACTTGGATTCAAGGTTCGTGTTGAGGGAAGTTTTGGGTAGAAGAAGATCTCTTTAGTGTCAAAGGATTTGGCTCCTCCACAGCACCGGGGAAGGTGGAAGTGATTTTGTGTAAGGGTTTCTCCGCATAACTGTGGGGGCTAAAGGAGAATCACTAAAGGTTTAGTGTAATACTTGGAGGGTGCCTCCGGAGAGTAGATGTAGGTTATGGTTTGACCGAACCACTATAATGCGGTGTGTTCTTTCCTTTATTATTTTTGCACTTTATTTTTGCATTCATTTTTTTATTGTGATTAATTGCGTGGGTGAAATTGATAAATTTATCTTTCTAGTGTGAACATAATTTTCTTCCGCATCAAGTCATAAGAAGTTATTTCTTTTTGTTTAAAGAAGTTGTTAAAATATCTATTTTATGCCCTTCTTAGTGCATTTAGTAATTTCAATTGGTATCAGAGCGGGATCCAAAAATTAAGTTTTAGAAAACTTTTGGAAAAAGATTGATGTCTAATTTTTGTAACCATAATATTGTGGAAGGTTATTCAATTACGTGACCACCTTTATTCAAAAATATTTCTTTTAATTTTTGAAAAATTCGTTTTCTACTTTCTTGCAATCAATCGATTATCGAATGTGGCATATGATTCAAACTGGCTATTTTGTACCATCATGTATTATAGATGGAGTTCAAATTGATATTCCTTTTACTGAATAGAGTAGAATAGAACAAATGAATGCCTAACTAAATGCTAGATGCTTGAATTGTTTTTTTATGTGCGTTAAATTTTGATGATTGCATGAGAATCTCTACATATACTACTGGAAAAGAAGTTTGTGATAGATTATGCAATACATACGAAGGTTCTAGTGAAGTCAAGCAATATAAGTTGAATATTCTAATGCATGACTATGAACTTTTGTAGTTCCCTTGAATAACAGTAGAAGGGATTTCAAAAATTGGTTTCTAGAGAGAGAATGTCTGAGTTTCTAGAGAGAGAAAGACTGCCTCCATTCTTTTTGAATTTGGTTTCTCGCGGGTTTTTCGCGGTCGGTGGAGCAATTGTCGAATGATCGCGACCATGGATCTCTACGTACTAATGGTAGAGTAATGAATGGTATTGTTATCAGAGAAGGAGCAAGACCTCTGAGCCGTCAAGTTCTAGTTCAGGGTAAGGGGAAGAATGCTCTAGTGGATTGTCTGGTTGCTAAGAGGAATGTGGATCTAAAGAAGGGTGCAGGTATGGCCAATCTTGATTCTTCATCGTCAGATGATTTAATCTTAAAAGTGAATAAGTTTTCTGGAGTTCTTGAGGCAAATAAATGTCGTAATATTGCAAATGATCTGAATTTTGTAGAAGTTCAGAAGGTTGATTAGAACATTGATTCTGTGAATGATTCGGTGAGAAATGGAATCTTGATGAGCAATATGAATGGTAACATCAGACAAGATGGAAATGGGGAGGTTGTTGAAGCCTGGACGAAGCCAAAGCATATCAAGATTGCTTTTAACAGAGATCAAGTTGAGTTATCAGAGGATGGGATTGCAGTTAGTCTCAATCTAGACATGGAAGAAAAGAATTCACAAGTTATGAAGAATTTGTTAGTGATTAAAGTGTTGGGAAATAATGTGCCATTTTTAGTATGCAGTGTAGAACTGAGAAGGCAATGGAGTAAATATGGTGGATTTCACTTGACGTCAATTGGCATGAACTGGATTCTCTGTTCTTTCAAGTCGGATGAGGCAGTGGAAGAAATTTTGAATGGCGGTCCGTGGTATGTAAGCGGATACATAGTCGGCATGGACATATGGTCCCCTATTTTTGATCCTAATTCTTTTAAGGGCATTTCCGCTCCCATCTTAATTAGATTTCCTTGCTTGCCTCTATATTGCTGGGATGAGGAGAATATAACGAGAATTGCCTCCCGGTTTGGGTCACCGATGTATATAGATGAAAATACTTTTAGATGGGGAAAATGAGAGTTTGCTCGCGTTTGTGTTAAGATTGATCTGGAGAATAAATTACCGAGTTTGGGTAGATGGATCAGCTAGGAGATTCTTCAAACGGGTGGAATATGAGAAAATTCACTTACTTTGCTATCAATATGGTAGAGTGGGGCATAACAAAAAGGAATGTCCTGATGATGTAATTCATGGTATTAAAGATCAAATGATGAGGAAGCCAAATGTAAAAGTAGATGAAAGAAAGAGGGTTGTGTTTGAAATTAAATCCTTAGTGATTACTTTCGAATACGGCCCTTGGATTCATGTTCACTTTAAGAAAAGACAACTTACCAAAGGTAGAGTTGCTGGTATAGGAGTGACTGGTATAATGGGTTCAGTTCGGAGAGCATAGGAAAGAGTAATCATGAGGTAATTGTGCAGAAGCAAATGTAACAAGAGAAGGTGGTAGTTGTTTCTATAGACAATACTATACTGGCTCCAGAAAACTGTCCAGGTATGGAGAAAGTTGTTGGAGACAATATGCCAAGTATTTCCCTAACCAATAGATATGCTCCTTTGCTTGAAGACAATGAAGAAGAAGTTATTGAAAAACCTAAGGAGATTGCTAAATCAATGGATACGAGTATGGAACTAGTTGATTCAGGTGTCATGAATAATGGCATTGTCTATCATAGTGGTGCTGTTCAAACTAAACT